CTATAAGTCAAATGGCACCATCGAGTAGCTTTCGACACAGTAGATCGAGAAACAATATGGAAAGTTCTAAAAGACTTTGAGGTGCCAAAAGATCTATTCAATATAATAAAAAGCACATATGAGACTGTTAAAGTAAAAGTACAGATAGAAGAACAAATATAGGAGGAGTTTTAATGGAAAAGGTATAAACAGGGGATAATCTAAGCCCACTGCTGCTGTTCATAATCATAATGGACGAAATAGTCAAGACGATAAAAGAACAAATCGTCATGCGGTAACTTCGATGGTGGCGGGTGATGTTAACCGGGTTTTCCTCACTTGTAAGTCAAATGGCACTATCAGTCATCTTTAAGTCGCTCCGGAGCAAAACGGCAAATAATAATCGTCGTCCCTCTCTTCCCCCACAGAGGCTCAGTCGGCTTCAGGAGTTGAAATTCATAAGAGGGTGAATTAGGGAGAGTATTACTATTATTATTAATAAGGAAAAAATTTAGTTATGTAGTATAGTAGGATACATAAACTTGGAGCCGATTCGATTAAGCAAATTGCTATATATAGGTGACGTGATACTCAGCGTCGTAGCTGAGGTCATGGGCTCCCAGAACAAGATTTGAATTTTGGGCTACTCAAACTTAATTATTAGATAATAAATTAGTTCTTGCTTATTTTGTAGAAATAGAAACAATACAGTACACTGCTTGCGTTGTAAACTTTTAAAATGCAGCAAATAAATTGCAATTTTTTTATCTGTGTTGCAGGTGAATCGCCTTAAAGATTTTAGTTATAGTATGAAGTGTTTTAAATTTAAACCAAGTATTATAGGTATTAAAGGTCAAAGACAGAGTTCTGTTTAAATATCCGTTATGGGTACCGCTTGCACTAACAACTATTGTCTCCGCTTCTATTCTATTAAAATAATCATTAGAAAATTATGCATTCATTATTTAGCATAACTAGATTATCAGTGTTGGACCATTTGATCCCATAATTGTTGTCGAAACGTAGGCGAATTTTATTTGAAGGTCAATTAACGCCCCAAAATCGGCAGTACTGGTTGTAAGAAAAAAAAATGTAGTAATAGAAACTCGAAGCAAATCGACGAGTTCAGGTCGCCGTATTCGTGTCTACGCGGTATTAGTGTTGAATAATATCGAAAGGTGTGGAAGTTTTCCCAAATTACCTAATCATTGTTTCTTTTAAATTAATATCTTCGGTTTCATTATTTTTTTATGAGAAACATCCTACATACTTTACTCACTTCAGTGTATGCCTTCATGTGGTTCATTAGCCTAATTAATTTCGGTTAAAATTATAATAGTGAGTTAGTTTTGTTTTGGTTTCGGGGTAAGTGATTAATTACTACATCTATATTCTGCAGTCTCTACTAGGAGTCTTCAAACTATCAACACCGGTACGCGAGCATCACCAATTTATTTTGATTACATTGTAAAATTTGCAAGGCATTAGCCATTCATTTCTTCAACCATTTTTGATAATTGTTTATATTTTGAGTTATAGGGATTTTTAATTTTTTTTTTGAAATGTTTATTTTTAAATCATACAAACTAATTAAGATACACAATAACTGACGTACATAATATAATTGAATATTTTCACTGTAATTAATGATATAGGATGTATCCTAAAAACTTACAATAGGTGACATACATATGTACTTCACATAATAATTATGATTAATGAGATTTATGTAAATGTAACTTTCCACTGACAATTGTGTGTAGTTGTAGATTAAGTTTACTAATGGAAATTATCAGCAGCGACTTTATATGCTTAGTTAAATTTTTGTGGATATTTTTATAGCAGAGCTCTCAAAAAAGGTTTTACCTCTTCAAAAATTTAATTATTTTTTATAACTTTGGATTTAAAAAGCGTGACATTTGCATTTAAGTAAAAAACCTGGCATTTTCGTACTTTGGCGTGACGCCTTTCAACAAGTGAACAAGCGGGACGTCTGGCAACCCTATTAATAAACTATGTGAGCAAACTACTCAATCACGAAATATTGATATACCCATTAAATTATCTGCACTCACTATAGCTTTTTTAATACCAAAATCGTTGCATGTCATCGATGACGTTATTCTTTCGTCACCATCTAATTAAAATTTCCCCAACTAAGCTAATAGCTAATAATCAGAAAAATATCACTAATATTTACGAGCATTCATGAACGACGTCACATTACTAATAAACCAAAAAATGTAATCGTAATTTTTTGATTAAATCACAATGTAATAATTTCCTATACTCTTAGTTGATTAATAACACAAGACAACAGACATTTTGGTGCCCGCGAGTTTTTAATGGTTCTTCGGTTATTTTTGGGTGCAGAATTCAAAGTAGCCATCAGATTTCGTCTATCAGATCTAGTTTTTAAGATAGGCAATATTTACTATTTTTTAACTTGTATAAACATATAATTTATTACAAAAAGTAGATTCACATACATTTATACTTATCACCTAAAATTTTTTTTATCCGGCTTTCTGGCATGGAGTGTACAAGGGCAGTCTCGCTGAAGGCTCCAACAGTAGTAGGCCATCATGTGGCTATCCCAAGAATCAGTACTTACAACTACGTCACTGCTTTATACACTTCAACATAAATTGCATACTTTCCTGGATATCACCTTTAACTATTGTGATAGTTGCAACGGGAAAAATACATTAAACTGCTAATAACTGGCATTAAGAATGCAAATATACTTCCTTAATGTAATTTTGAAAACATTTTGAGCATTTTAAAGCCTTATGTTAAATTAATTCCGAATTATAACCATAAACCATAACCTTGTAACTCCCATACTCTCCCATAATAATTTGACTACTATGTGGATAAAACCGTGAATTCTATTTTTGTATACAAAATTAGTCTAGTAGTTGTTCTTCTTTGTTTAACATTCGATAATTTTGACATTCTATACTACCATGAAACTCGTATTTAGAGTGCGGTGTTGGGAAAAGTAATTTAAAAAATTTCATTGATTTAGGTTATGTTAACGAGTTGATTGTGTTTTCTGTAATTTTATCATTTTTGGCCTTATTTTTGTAATTTGTAGAGGATAAAGCATTCTCTTGGATATCTTCGAACATCCATCTGGAGTAATTTTATAATCCCACCCAAGTTTAACTGAAAAATATTTAAATGAATACAGCTAGTTTCTAAATGAAATAAGTAATCATGGGTATTAAACGGAAAGGATAGCAATCTTTTAAAAAACGCAACTTGTACTCTCTATGTACTATCCACATACCCCAAGCCCTAAACAGGAATACAAGGAGATTAAGTACTAGTCCATGATCCGTAAGTAAGGTCGACCTTCACCCATCTGTTTAATGGATAAAAGTTTTGTTTTATTAAATAAAATATGTTTTTAAATAAACTGCAAATGGGTTGCCTAAGAAAATACGATCACGGCCATTTTTTACTTTCCTTTCTGTGTACAGATAAAGAAAGTATATGAATAATGACAAAAGTTGCTTATGATGTCATTCTCTATTATTTTGTCCCTATACATGATTTCCCTAAAATGGACCTAATTTGAGATATTTGAGGAAAAGTGCAAATTTCGAATTTTGAAGATAACTCAAAAACGGATGCAGAGAAAAACACCAAATTTTAAACTTAAGCTTTAATCCGTTCTGTGGTGAGCTGATTAAAATTTGGACATAGTCGAAGCATCTGGGGAATACTTTACAGGGTGTCATTTTTTTACTTCAAGAAAATAAATAGTCTGGACCGTATTTTCTTAGGCAACCCATTTGCGGTACATTTATAAACATATTTTATTTAATAAAAAGAAACTTTCATCCATTAAACAGATGGGTGAACGTTGACCTTACTTCGGATCTTAGACCATACTGACTACAATAGAGTCAAAGTGTTTTCCTTACGGTTCAGGATCTGGTTAGTATTGAAAAAACGGCAACTATAGCTTGTTTGCTTTGCATATCGATATGGCTGTAATTTCTCTAAAAAGAGATGATGAGATAAATACAACTACTAACTATGAATATTTATAACTATTTCTACTTGTTAACTAAAAAAATGATAATTATATGATAATTTAAAATCACTTTTCGTATAACGCATAATTTTAGACTTGTATGTATTAATTTAAATAAGTTTTGCAAGTGTATATTCCTCTAATATGTGTAATTTTTTAGCTTAATCAATTTTAGATCATCAGCATATAATAATAAAAAAATGTCAAAATTCTTATAACGAAAAGAGTTTCCATATGAGCCAAAAATAAAGAAGGATTTAGCGACACACTTTGCAGAACTCCGGTGGAAATAGTAAAAAAAATTGGAGAGTTGCGTCGTTCCCTTTTAATGTATATGATCGATGAAACTATTTTAACCACTTTTGATAATGTATTTCATTAGTTTCTAGAAAAACATCTTAAATTTCCAGAAATATTGCTTCATTACTGTTACTTCTTGTTTTAACATATCAATCCCAGTTTATATGTGGGAGAATTTTTTGAATTTCATTCAGAGACGTGTGTAGTTATCGTTGGCATGACTGTTATATCTATCTTTGTCGGTGATGTGATGACCTACTATAAAAACTTTTTTATCACACTTATTTACTGTCGATGATTTAAGCGTATGACACAAACGGAACTGGTAAAAGAATTACAGACGCATTTTCTGTAATAACTTTTTTATTGCAAAGAAAGTGTTTTAATGTTTAATTATGCTCAATTTTAAGATATTGTGTTATTTATTAATTGGCAATTTATTGACTATTCAACAAAAACGAATTGCATAAATTATAATTTATCTAACCTTTTAACTAGTAAATTCTATTCCAGTCGTTTTTATTTGTTAAAGCGTGACGAAGCTTATAGCTTGATTCGTTGTATAACATAGATAGGTATTTAAAATTTAGTACATTTTCGAACTGTTTACTAAAACTGTATAGTGCTAAAATTATGCAATTAATGTGTGTGATAAAATGTTTTTTATTTTCAGATTGGTCTGAAGCGTCTTCAGCCGGCACACTTCGAAGCGCAAGCATCATATCCCCCCCGACCCCTGAACCTCATTTACCTTCATATTTAAGTCTTGCTTGTACCGTTAACGGTTACTCCACCACAACGCACTACGACCCACTACGTCTGGCATCCAGGTCCCGAGATGCGTCTCCACACCGGATAGAATCGGACCCACATCTTAAACCATCAAGTTATTCGATACAGGTAAGTTTAAAATTATTTCAGACATATATAACACGACTAATTACCAATGAAGGTAGTAGTAATTTGTGCAAAAGGAGTGGATACGATGGCCATATCACACGAAGATTAAGTTTGAGCACGACGCCGTAGGCCAGGCCTGCACAACATAAGGCCCGTGGGCCGCTTGCAGCCCGCCATTGTCAAACTATAAATTTTTCTGTAACAAAATTGCATTTATTAATTGCCTTAACAGATATCAAATTCTATATGTGATAAAACACAAATAAAACTTTGATGCAAGTATTTAAAATAAAACTTAATAAATAGTGTTTATTTTATTTGAAAAACAACTTTTGAAAATAAACTATAAATTATTTTTTTTTCAACGTTCAACGTATTTGAACGTTGCACCTGCGGCGAAATTCCTTCGCAACAAGAGTAGATATGGACAATTCACTCGAGTTGTACAGTACATTTTTTCTGCGACCCACTAACGAAAATTTACAAATTTAAGAATTATTTTAGGTTATTAAGACAAAATAATTATTTTAAAATTATTTATGACTTGTACTAATTTATAAACAGAAATGTCCCTTTTTAAAATTATTTATGATTTTTACTAATTTATAAACAGAAATGTCACTTATTTAAAATAATAGTAGTTGGGTGACCAAAATATGAAATGTGATTGGTGGATTTCATTTGTTTTGCAGTGTTCTCACTACCTAGAATGGATATGAAATATAATCGTTCAGTTAAATGCAATAGCACAATTTTTCGTTTGGTAGTCTGTGCCGCAGATAAGCCAATATCCATGTGGGTGTAGAAATAGTAGTTTGTGCAACAAAAGTATATATCTGGATTTGGAGACTAATTAAATTAAATTTTTGTGTTCATGTTTGATTTTTTAAATTAATTAAGTCATAAATTATTTTAAAATTAGTTATTTTGTCTTAATAACTTAAAATATTTTTTAAAATATGTAGATTTTCGTTAGTGGGTTGTAAAAAAAATGTACTTCGAATGGTTTGTCCATATCCACTCTTGTTGAACAAACTACTATTGCCGATCTCTAACGTCCTTTTTCCGGTATTGATCGGCAAAACGTTATTATCTGGACGAAAAATTGTCCAGAAAGTGTATATTTTGTGGTCGGTATTAAAAAATTTTTTTGCTGGTCGCTCACTTTAAATACATAATATACAGGGTGTTTAATAATATATGTGCAGGACTTCAGGACGTGATAGCTCGTCCAAAAATATGAAAAACGTTTCTAATAACTTACCCTCTAAAATGCACCATTTTCGAGATACAGGGTGTTGAAATTGAAAAAAAAAAAAAAAATTCTACGCCACTGTAAAAAGTACGGTTTTGAGACGCCCATTTGAACCGCCAATGTTTTCTACACAAAAAAGGTACTCTTGGTCATACGCTCTAAAGTCGACCGTTTTCGAGAAAAATCAAATTTTAATGTTGAAATACATGCGGTCATACATACTTGATGAAACAAAATTTGATTTTTCTCGAAAACGGTCGACTTTAGAGCGTATGACAAGACGAATTTTGTATGGATGATATTTTTCTCGCCTTAATATCCTTCCTACTGAACGACGGCCAATTGCGTACGTATTGGCGAGTTCAGTTGTGGATAAATGAGAATTTTCTTCTAAAGATATAGCAATATTTTGAGCAACATTTTCAGTTGTTGCTCTTTTTAAACGTCCACTTTTTGGTAAATTGCTGACGGTTCCACTTGTGTTGTACCTTTGCACAGTTTTTGTTACTACCGAACGTGATATCTGTCGATTCGGATAAATATTGTTCCAAAGATCACAAACTTCTTGATGCGTTCTTCTCCTGTTCCCATACCCATTCATCATCAATGTTTCTATTCTTTCTCTTTTTCTTAATTCGGCCGTTTTAAGTTCAAATTCAAATACTACTTACTTATTTTGACATCTAATGACACTTCTACAATGATTTTCATGGACTACTGATATCATTAGATTTTTCCTTACTTTAGTTATGTTTTTGTTAAATCTCTGTTGGCATTGAAATAAAAAATATGGAACCCGATATTTTTGAATTTGTAATAAAATACTGTATTCGAAATTAAAATAATATACAGGGTGTTTCATTAAAAAATTTAAAATCGATATTACTTTCGGTTAAACCGAAAGTTCAAAATTGTTAAAAAAAATAAAATCAAATAGGCAATTTAATGTAATACCTACCTTCCAATTTTCATTTCGATATCTCTAACAATTTCAGAGATATTTACTTGGTTCCACACATTTGCCCATTACTGTATGTATCTATTATCTAAAGCAATGCAATTATACCTGGTGTTCAAATTAAAGCGTTTCAGCTATATACCGCCTTTTATAAAAAAAAATGTTTTAGACGAAAGTTTTATAGTTTTGTGTAGAAATTTTTTTGGCTTTTTATAGCTAGCCATAATATGGCCAACTTTTTTTTTTCACGCAGCAAAATTTTTAAGTAGCTGTTACTCAAAAAGTAAAAGTCCATTAAAAAAAAATTTCCCTCAAAAGTTTCTTATTTTTTTTTATGAACTTTAAGAATATGTAAAAAAAACTGGGGTTCCAATTTAAAAAAACAAAATCCACCTCGATATAGCCATATTATGGTCAGCTATAAAAAAAATTAATTTAGCCAAAATGTTTCCCCCAAAAAACTATAAAACTTTTGTCTGAAACTTTTTTTTCTAAAATGCATATTTTCGGCGATATTTAACTGTAACACTTTAATTTGAACACCCGGTATAGTTTGCAGTCCTGCAAATTTCAATACAATAATGTCACATTTTAAAGAATATATATTCTTTAAACTGTGATAGTACACCGTTATTTACGCTGCTGCATCATTCTTGTCTTATTTTTCATATTTTAGAAATCCTTTGCTAATGTTTTCTAAAATTTATATTTTTGGTTTTACAGAACAACCTTCTTTCTCCACCAAACATAGTTCCTCTACCCATTAAAAAAATGGATAACACCTTAGCGCAACATAGAAGCGATTTCTATAACTCAATGAAAACAACTACGTACTTGAGCAAACAGTCATTCACGTCAGGCATATTTAGCAGCATTACGAGTACTAAAGACACGACAGATAGCTGTTTGGAAAATAACGATCGCAGTATCCAGAACAAGTGCGTTTCATTCGAAAGCACTACCATCTCTACCACGAACGGGCAAACGAAATGCCTATCCGAAACCGCGATGAAACAAGAATACTCAAACGGAAACGAAACGAAATCCTTCATCCAACAAAGAGTCGAACGCCTTTACGGCCCCGGCGCTTTGGCGCAAGGTTTCTTCATTACCAAACCTCAGAAAACTCGTCTTTCTGAGTCGGAAAGCAGAACATCAACCGTTAACACCGATAGACACTCCAAATCCTTAAATGACGATTTACTAGAAGACGATATGGAACCTTATATGAAACAGAGCACCAGCAGTCCCACATTACCAGTTTTGAGGCATCTCAGACCGGAATTTAGGGCGCAGTTGCCGGTTATTAGCCCTAGGAAAGGAGGACAGTTCGAAAGCGTTATTCAAAAGAGTATAACGATACCTAAATTAAATGAGGAAATTAAAGTGAACGGACACTCGAAAACGAACGAGAAGAATACGATATGCGAGAAAAAGGAAGAAAGCAATGGATCGTTAGCTATTAGTAATAAGACTGGAACAGGTTAGTAAAGTTATTTAATTTTTTTATAAATTTTCAAAATCAAAGTACTGCTTAAAAAAGCTATTAATTTATGTGTTCTATTATCTAATTATTCTCATTAATGTATTGACTGATCAATTAATTGGCGACTCTATATTATATCGGATGACAATGAGACCATGTTAATATATCTCTTTTATTTATGAAGTGATTGGGATGGAATTTGGAACAAACATATTAGGCGTAATTTAGTCACTCATACTTAAACAATATGGCTGACGTCCGGTTTTACCGGAAATGTTATTAGTGAGATTTTTGGTAGGAACACATATTTTTTTTTTATTAATTTATTTAACGTCGGCTTATTTATAACTACGAGGTTTAAACATAGACGCAGGTGAGCACGCTACCCCCAGTTACCAGAAATTTAGCCGAATCCCTTGGTGTTCCAACCAGAGGTAGGCATTTTAAACGAGCCCAACATCCATGGACTCAGGACCAACGGCTTTACATCTCCTCCGAAAAGATGGCACACCCCACGCTATACATTCTTACTCATTGATGTAACGCCTGCCCGCTGTGGTATGCAACTAAGCGAGCAATTTGTTCGAACGTACGCCGACTTTCATCAAACTACTAACTGCGCTAGGTCTGGCTCAACTGCATATTATATCGATACACAATAAGTGAACCTGCTAAGCTTCTCGAAAAACACGTTTTAAGAATTTTATCTTAAGAATGTATTTATAAAATTGCTATTGTTTCGAGTTATTTAAGGCTATTAGAACAATATTTGAAAAAAAAAAAAATGTTTAGGAAATATGATTCCAAAAAACAAAATATTCATTTAAAAAATCTGGTTAAACCGGAAGTCAGCCATGCTTTTTCATTATGTCAATTCGAAATTAATGTCTAGTAGGTTTGTCCCAAATTTGATCCAAAACTGTTGGTAAGAGATATTAACGTGGTCATCGTCTCATGGTATATTAGGCCTTAGACTCGTTTCGTATCAAGGTTAATGCTTGTGTAAATAACCTTTTTATTAAAGTTGCATAAACTATGTTTTCTACTGCCAAGACGCAGTTATTCAATTTAACAGTATTATTTTTTAATTCTTTGTAAGCCTTAAGTAATCAGGCAAAAATGTTGGATATTTTCTGGACTTTCTTTTTAAATATGTTTACAATTTTGGATACTTACTCCCATCAGTTTTATAATTAAATTCAGTTGGGTTAAAATGGAGTACATTCATTAAGTATTTTTCTATAAACTGTCAATTAAAAAATATAAATTTGCATTTGGGCCACACTCTTTAAAAGGCAGTTGAACGGCAATTATTCATTTTTTTAAATGTACCTAAGGTTATGGCAATGATCGAGGGAAATTCCACTTAAAGGATTAGTTTTTTTTTTTGTTATAAGAGTAGAAGATACCCAAAAATACAAGGTAAAATAAATTTTGAAATCAAGTTTTGACCACATGTGTTGTACTATGATTTGCATATAAAAATTTTAATGCATAGACAACGGTGCCACATATCAAACTAGGAACGTAACGATGTTAAGTTTTAAAAACAAAAACTGAAATAATTTTTTTCACGAAATATATAGTGACAACGTAAATTGTGCCCCCCCTCCTCCTAACTTTTAAATGGAAGAAGATAGAAACATAAAACACAAACGAGGTGCAATTAGAGAGATTATGATATTTTGGTTATAAAGAGGTAGGTACACTTTACTTGAGACGTAAAAGAGAGGATGTTACTATCTTAAAATTTTCTAATGGAAAGTAGTCTTGTAATACCTCATTGGAAAGATATTTTCATTATCTTTACGTCCATGCAAACAGTTTTAGGTTTGTATGATTTTACAAAATAAATTAATGAAGAAAGCTACGTTCTTGGTAACCCTCGTATTTACTATTTTTGTTTTTGTTACTAAGGAAACGCTTTTTATAAATTAAAGAAACTTTAAAACTTCAATTTACGTCCCCGCTGTATATCAATTTCAGTACCCGCTGTATATCAATTTCTGAAATAAAAAAAAACAGAAGAAACTTCTCATTGTTGGAATCTTTGGCTATTTAATTGATTTAAGCCCATTTGTTGATCATTAGAGTGAATGAAACTCATATTTTTTTGTGTATTTTTACGAGACAATCTGTATTAAACAATTATGATAACATATTCTTAATCCAGTCCCGATTGAATCAAATTACCAAATTTCTATTAATAAATGGATAAAAATATTAGGTACTAGCAGCTAATAATTATATTCTAATAATTAAAATTAAGTAGATAGCCCTTAATGTATCAAGGTCAACAGCAAGTTTTTGTTATCGACGCGAGTAATTAAAAGCGCAGGTTATCAGTTTTATAGCTGTAGTCCACGGCAGTTTGTTTTGATAATTTTTAACTATATTGTGTAATTTTTGCCATACAATACAAATGCCTGTGCGTAAGTATACAAACAGATTATACAGATGTAAAAACTGTTTATTACATTGTTATCTCACACATTATCATTATAAGTTGTCTCTAATAATTGGTTGTGAACTGTAAACTAAATACAAAATAATGCAATTTAAAAAATGAGCAAACTTTTTTTTTAAATGTTTCGAGGTGTACATATATATATGAATCTGAATTTTTTCTAAACAATAAACGTTTGTTTTATCTAGCCGTCAATGTAAAATCATTCTTATTTTACCTTTATTGCAAGGTACCGAATCCATGCAATGTTCAGCTTTTTCTTTCGGTGCCTTATGGGTATCATACCACTTCAGCTGAATATATTTTTTAACCGACTTCAAAAAAGGAGATTATCAATTCGTCGCAATATATATTTTAAATTTTTAATTTCTAATACTTGTTCCAGTTTCAAGGTTCCTACTCTCCATCATAGTCAGACATATATCTATAGTTTTTTATTTAAATCCAGTGGTTTTAAGAAAGCGACGAAGTGTCTATACTGAACAATCATGTCATTTTTTGTTTTTAATTAATTCGTTCCTTATAGTTTCAATTGTTGGAGGGTCTTATTTTTCTAGATGTCTGCTATCATTTCTCTTTTTTCTAGACTTAAGAATTAGTTAGAAATATTGTTTCCTTGATAGCATCTGTTTCAGATAGTTCTGTACAAACACCATTAAACACATTCAGCATATTCGTTGGCAGCATCATATAAATACTTATTGTTCATCCACTCTTGGTAGGTTCATCTTCTCTAGACTCTAAATAATTAACATTTTTACAAATGATCACAAATCATATGTAAAATTTAACTGTAATTTTTAGTTGATATACATCAATGCACAAATTCTAACCATTAATTTATATTATAATTTTTCGGAAACTTCGATTCATTCTCTACAAGGTTCTGGCATGTTCTTTCACGAGAAATTTTTTTTTCATCCCTAGCATGACTTTGAAGAATTTCGGAAAACAGGTCTTTTTGAGGTTTTTTTTAGAAAATCACGTGCCACATTCAGAATATTGGGAAAATGAATAATGTTGAGTGTGCATCTTACAGGCCATTGTTCCCCCGAAAGCCCTGGTCCATCAAGCCGTTTCATTGTTTCATGCGAGTGAATTTTTGAAGAAATTGAAGGATCGCGTTTTTCTATCCATGACATTCATCAGGATTTTGTTCTAATTGTTGGTTGGATCATAGATCCATAAACTAGACACTTCAAGCTTCAAATTGTCTTTTTTTCATTCACGTACGAACATTTTTACCAAAGATACAGCCACTCGAAAAATCGCAAAAAATGAGATTTTTTTTGATCCCTTAATTTTTTCCACTAGTGTATTTTGCATGTCTAGTTTGTGTATAATCTTTAAAATCAGGATAAACAAATGTTTATCAAAATTTTATTAAATTAAACCTTGGAACATCTAACGATTAATTCTGTGGTTGTCAGTTATAAACTCTAAAACTTTAAACGCACACATCTGGACAAAATTTATTATATTGATGGCTATTGGTGTCAATTGAAGCCCTTTTTTTAAATTTCACAAAAATTGTCAAATGCTACAGAAGTGTCGTTGGAAGCTACACCAATTATGTTTTTTCCCTTGTAGTCTAGCTAGCCTATTACTTACATACATTTCATCATCTAATATCATTTTATCATTATCAAAGGAATCTACTGTATAAAAATATATTTTAAAACCTCTATGATTTTACTTGTCAAGCTCTCCGAAACTTTGATCTTTTTATTAAAATTTAAAATGAAATCCTCAAAATTTTCTCCTTCAATGTTTTTCTTTTCTCTCCTCTGGATTTTTCTTGGAGTGGATACGGGTTTTGAGAGGTATTTTGGCAAATTTGAAAAATACAGAGACATGCATTAGGCTTTAATTTCGCACTAACAGAAATTTTAGTTAGAAGATAAGTATCTTCTCATGCAATGTCACTCTCTGGAAAATGTAAGAATGTCATTTATACGAACCGACCGCGGTGAAACGGTGACCAGACCGTACAGGCTGGCAGCGCTGGTATTGTTCCTTTCCTGCTTGCCCCAGTGGCGGCTCTCTGTAGCTCTCGCCCGCACCTGTGCCAAGCCATATTGAAAGATGTTCGATGGCTAATACTGTATAAGTTTTATACTCGCACGCGGGTTTTGAGGGTGAAAGTTTTAAAATGATCTGTTAGATTTTTCTTTTGGCTTATTTGAGCAAAGAAAGAAATAGTAGCTCTCATCGCAGCGTTACCATTTTTGTGTCTTGTTGGCTAGGAAGATTAAAGATGGTTGTAGATTTAGATGATCCTTTAAAAGATGAAACACGTTTAATATTTAAAGAAATGTACAATGGTAATATTAAATTGTTAATCCCAATACATTTGTCGAATCGAATTATGACGATAAAAACATTACTTTAATATAGAGAACGGAAAAAGGCTGGTCCTAGTATTTTAACAATTTGTTAATGATTACTGATTTATAATATCTTCTCACCGAATTTGAACTTCACTGTACGTGAATCTATTTTACAAATATCGCCCTATAATATATTCCTACTAGATTAAGATATTTAAAATAATTTATTTCACCGATATTTAATTTATTTTCAGAGGAAAAAGACGGTCATTATTTCCTGAAGATTATAGATGAGCAAGCGAAAAGATTGTTAGAATTGGCTGCGAGGGTAGAAAGTCAAATATCAACGCCAAATTTATCCGAAGAAGTGATAGGAATACTTAGATCAGCATCCGGAAAAGCAAGATTATTAGTCACGCAAAAGATGCAACAGTTCAAAGGTCTTTGTACGAACAATATTAATCGGGTAAGTTATTTTGATTTTTTGCTAAAATTCTATTTTGAAAAACATTAATACCTTTTAACTGAATAAATTGTAGAATATGAGTAATTTATGACGGTCTGTATCCTGTATAAATTTGACTTTTAAATATGTTTCTGAAATATTATTACACATATTTTTTTTTAAACTTTTTTTGAAAGTCATATGTGAATTACAGAAGTATATAGCTTTTTAACGTAGTTTTATGTACAGTATATTTATTATAAGTAATCTATTTCAAAAAAAAAAAAAAACTATAGGGGCATCTGAGATTAAAAAAATATAATTTTTTAAGCTTCTTTTATGGTAATATCCATGGCTGGGCGATTATCAAAATAAATAATCAATTATTTAAAATAATTGATTATTTTCTACTAATCGATTATTCGAAATAATAGAATATTCGATTAATACAGTGTAGGCCAAAAAGCTCTAAACAAAGAGGAACATTGATTTTTCAGAACTGATAGTTTCTGTAAAAAAGAAATTTTGGATTAGATATACAGGAGCACAAAAAAAATATATTTTTTTAAATATCAGATTTAAAGAATGGTAATAAACAAATATTATTATTTATATTGATAATCGATTTGGCAACTATTTAAAAAAAATAACCTTTTAAATAAGCGATTTTTTTTGGATGCCGATTATTCAAATGATAAAATTCAAATTTCGAGTATCCGATTAATCGAAAATAATCGATTTAAAAAAAAATAGAATAAATAATCGATTAATCGATTATTTTGCCCACCCCTTGTAATAGACGCGGCTAAACAGAGTACGAGGTAAATAGTCCAACATGAAGTTGGCTTACTGTGTCATGTGTCACTTTTGTGTTTAGTTTATAAAATGAAATTGGGAAGTATGAATAAAGAATTAATTTTTTAATAAAACAGATTTTGAATTTTGAGATCATAAATATTTTTATTTTTCGTTTAAAATTTGTATTAATTTATAGAAATAAATTAAATTGTGACAAAAAAGACAGAAGACAACAAAATCACTCCAATTTAAATTATTATTATTATTATTATTAAAATTGTTTTTTCAATGATTTATTATGTTACATTTTATATACATTAATATGATCAATATATTCATTTTTTGGTTTTACGGGTACATGTTTCTATTGGCCTAATGCTGAACAACCTTGATGAACTTTGTCTGGAGAGGTGATAGATAGAAAAACAGAAGTCATTTTGAGAACCAGTGGACCTTTTTTTTTTCTTTTAGCTCTCCATAACTTTTTTGTCATATTTGTTACGTTTCAGTAAATTATGTATTACATTGCTAATACTATCTAGAATATCAATTTTAAATGATTTCTTATTATTGTAGATACCCTTTTTGGTAGTTAAAGTTACTCTTTGTAAAGTGTCCCGATACTATCATGCATCGAATCTAAAATTTTAGAGACAGAAACAACCGGTGTAAACTTTGCAGCAATACTTTGTTTTTCAATTTGTGGGATTTTTAAATGCTGAACTCGGTGGATACCATGACCAATAATGGGTTTTAAAATATTTAACATTCATAAGTACTTTTCACAGCATGTATTAATTTCACTATTATTTGGCTAGTGCAAATGCATCCACTTTTCTGAAAACCTTGTTACTTTTGATCAAAGTCTGTGTATTCAGCAATAGTCCTAAAAAATGCATTACCTTAAAAAATTTGGTTGCACAATGTTGGCAAAAACATACCTAAACAATTACATTGGTAGTAATATATGGGACACTTTCGTCCTATATATTCATCATTATCTTCTTTTTAAGTGCGCCACAACTGAAAATCTAACAATTATAATATTAGTATGTGAAAACTATACTCGTTAATTTTTACAAACCTTGAAATGAGGCAAATTCTAATTTAATGCAATCTTCATCAAATGCATGTTTACTAACTAAATGTAAAATAAAACTTTTTTGTCTATAAACTGAATATTACACAATAAACATGTGTATAAATATTCGTTTTTTGTACATTTTATTTTCTCCGTGTGAGTTTTGTAGACACTTTTCAAATGTTTATACAAACAAATTTTATCAAAAAATGTCTTATCACAATGCCCACATTTTCACTAATCTTTCTCATATGTCTATTAAATTACTTTTGTCAAAAAATATAAAACCATAATATAAAAATTTAAACAATGCAGGCAGGCATGTTTTCACGTTTTCAGCGCAAATACAGGAGCACAGAATAACCACTATTACAGAAATGAAGGCTTGCGTCGGCACGTTTGATGTCGGGGTGGCCAAAATTTAAAGTGACACTCGCTGACAGTTGACGTTCTTGCCGGTTGTTACACTGGTAAAAATTACCAAGATTCTTATAAATTCGGATAATACACTGAGAAAAGGATTTAAATATATGTAACAAACTTATTTAGCAACATCCACTATTTCTTCTCTGAATTGAAGGTTAGTGATATAATTAGAAAAAATAAGGCTTCACGATAATTTATTTTGAAGTAAATTGTACTGATCGCTATATTAAAAAAGAGTTTTTACTTGAGGAACCAGACCGAATGCTCGTTGTACTTAATTCATCAGTTTTTTTTAGATAACATTAATTCTTTAACAGAAGGATTCTATTACAAATTTTTGATGTATTAATTAATTGTATACTTTCCTGAAAAACACCTTCAACTGTGATAGTTGGATCTAGAAAAATAGATTAAACTAATAATAACTGGCATTAAAAATGCAAATACTTCCGAACTGTCATTTTGAAAGCCTTTTATGTGTTTTAGAACCTTATCATATGTCAATAATACCATAAACAATCCTTGTATTAAGACTTTCGCCATACTCTTATAATAATTTGACAACTCGGTGGATAAATCTGTGATTTTTACAATTCCATTTTTGTAAACAAAATTAATCTAGTAGTCGTTGGTAGAAAAGCATCACCAATAATTGGCGTATCGATTTATTACACTGTTTTACACTAGCACTAGCTCAAATGGCTTTTCTTTCGAGTCTTTTGTGCAGAGTTGTCCAGTAATTGCAGCACTTCATTAACGTAGGAGTGGAGTCGACCCTCATGTTTTGCAGTAACCTCTTTTTCTTATTTTTCTGTATGAAGATAATCGTTTATCAATGATACATCTTAGGACTTTATTTTGGAAAACTTATTGTATGGCACATCCTCGTAGCTGTATTTCATAAATCCAGACGACTTAGGATTTGTTTATAAATCATATGAATTTGTTGTATACATAAATTTGCATTTTTAGATGCATAATTATTAGAACTATGAATTAAATTGAGATTTGAAGAAAAGTACTGTAGGAAAAAGGTTGTTATAAATAAAACACGTACCCATACTGACTATTAATTTTAATAAACCAAAATACGAAAAACACATATTACAAAAATCAGATTAATAAAAATATCAATATGAAAAATACCTACACATCAAAAGGCACAAAATTTTAGACAAAGGAATATGCCCTAGGTCCTAAAAAATACAAGGTAAGCACAAACTGCTTGTATTCATTGGAATGTCTTCTAGCTAGAGGCTTTTTGTTTTTAAATTCCGCTTGAGATTTAACTAATCTGCAAATGGTTGGTTTAAAAATTGTGGCCCAACCGAAGGATATTTTTGGGACTGGCACATGCATTATCAAAATAGAAACAACAATATCTCTTCAATCTTCAAAGTTAGTTATTCTTTTGCTGGGACCTAAAAAAAAAATATTTAAATTAAAAAAATACATAAAAACAACACTATTATATTATTTTTAATACCTGGTGTACTGAGAAAATCGTCGTGGGATTTAGTAGGGTACAGATTCATTCAGAATGATCAATTATTTCATTTGTTGTGGGTGTGTGTCAGAATATTGTCAAACATACATTTTCAAATAAACATTTCCGAGTTGATCCAAATGAAAAACTACTGGGCTGGAAATGTTTTTTACACAACTGGTAGCTTTTGTGTAATTATTCACTGGTTATATTAATCAAGTCTTCTCGACTACAGGCTCTTAACAACATGGGAAACCTAAAAAAATACAAAATACATTGTCATAGGTAGATAAATATAATTTGATTTAAAAATGATAATAAAATAATTGTTTTGATTAAATAGCCAAATAAATAACATACAGTTAACATTGCTGCATTTGAAAAGTACCTAGTTTTACTCATTTTACTCGAAGCCGTTCTCGATGGGTTCTGCTCCATGGTCATTTAAATTGCATAATTTATTTTGCATACCTTTCTGAAACTTTGGGAAATGAAAAATAACTAGTATACGAATCCGTTCGAGGTAGACATGGGCGATAAACACATCTCTTTCTTTTAGATTCCATCAGTTCACTAAAAAATTATTTTGCTTTAATAAAATAAATAAAAATATGTAAATAGCTCAGAACATACCACAAAAAGTCTTCCATTAAAAACATGTTTACTGAACAATGTTCATAAAATAGACAAAGGAAAGCACTAAACACAGATTTACTCAATAATTGTTAAAAAATATACAAAGGAAAACACTAAAATACACTTAAATTCGATAAAAAAAAAATCATAAATTATAAATGACTGATCCTGACACTGACACATCAAAACAGGAGTGCGTTTAGAAACCTCACCCGGCGCGTCTGACCACACGCATTAGAATAGGGTCTAGACACGCCGTACGAAGTTTCTAAACGCACTCCAACACTCGTGACATGACAGTTTTGCCGGTTATAAAATGGCGGCCCTGATCAGGCGCAAAAAATTTTGGACCCCAAAAATTGACGTGCCTTCGCTTCTGTAAAAGTATTCTGTGACAGGAGTACAACTGTACAACTTCTTGTGATACCAACCTAAAGACCTTAAAAGTTACTAGAAGACTAGTTACCTCGTACTCTGTTTAGCGGCGTCTCTAGAAATATCTTGAAAAACAAATTCTTCTTTTGATAGTACATTCCTTATTTTTATTAAATATCTGCAGCTTCATTTTGGCAGGGTGGCACAAAATTGATCGAAAAAACATTTTATCGAAAAGAAAAATGATCGAAAAGAGTAATGATTGAAAAGAAAATTGATCGAAAATACATTTAATAGAAAAAGCAATTGATCGAAAAACTAAATATTCATAAAATTATAGAATAATAAGAAAAATGAAAACATAAATTTTAACTAATTTTCCTAACCTGTGTGGCCTAGAATCATCGCTGGTTGCTTCGCAAAAACAAAAAATGAAAAATTTAATAAAGTTAAGTAACGTGCCTAACTAATCCAACTTGTGCGAGAGCAATCAGTTAAATTTGAATAGCACAGGTTAGGTAAATTAGTTTTTTTATTTTTATAATTTTTTTGCGAGGCAAACCGCGACGTTTTCAGACTGGAGCAATTTAACTGATTGCTCTGATACAGGTTAGGTAAGTTAGTTAAGTTTTATAAAAATAAATAAAAATGAAGAAAACCTAACTAATTTACCTAACCTGTGCGGCCTGGGGCAATTTAACTGATTGTTCTCATAGAGCTTAGGTAATTTAGTTAGTTTTTTTAAAACTTAACTAACTTACCTAACCTGTGTCAGAGCAATCAGTTAAATTGCTCCAGGCCGTACAGGTTAAGTAAATAGGTTAGGTTTTCTTTATTTTTCCCTTTTTTGTATAGTTTTTTTGCGAAGCCATCCTCAAGGGCTCCAGGCCGCACAGGTTAGCTAAATTAGTTAAAGTTTTTGTTTTCAGTTTTCTTATTTTTCTATATTTTTTTTTGTAAGGATAACCGCATAGGATCCAGGCCGCACAGGTTAGGTAAATTAATTAATTTTTTTATAATAAAAAAAACTAAACTAACTTACCTAACATACGTGAGAGCAATCAGTTAAATTTAAATAGCAAGTTTTTATTTTGCTCTTTTTTGTATAATTTTTTTTGGGAAGCAACCCTTGAGAGCTCCAGGCCGCACAGATTAGGTAAATTAGTTAAAAAAAAAATTTTGAATTTTTCTTATTTGTCTATATTTTTTTTGCGAGGCAAACCGCGACGGCTCCAGGTCGCACAGGTTAGGTAAATTAATTAAATTTAATATAAAAAAAATCTTAAAATAATTTACCTAAAATGTCCCATCGGAAGACAACTCAACCTTATTGAAATACATATTTTGTGCGAATTAATCACATTTTTTTAATCCAAATGAAGATAAATAACCGTTTAGCTCTAAAATAATTATTTTTAAATTAACAGTATTGTAAGGATAAAATTTGTTAAACGAGGTAGCTATCATTTGAGATTATTGAAAAATTTGCCATTAGTACCTAATTTTGATAGCCGCTTAGTTTAGTTTCCCTGGTAGTAGGGATTAGACGGACGGTTGAATGGTATCGTTTGATTTTTTTGATATTTTACTATTGTTAATGTTGATTTTCGATATATTGTCCTTTCGTCTAATGAATTTTCGATCTATTGTCTTTTCAATAAAATGTTATTCGATAAAATATATCTTCGATCAAATGTTATTTGACCAAATGTATTTTCGATCAAATTCCATTCGATAAAATGTATTTTCAATCAAATTTCCAATTCGATCAATTTTGTGCCACCCATTTTGGCAGCATCGTTTAAAATCGTCCTTGGGCCGTTAACTTACTGTCCCTATAATCAATCACTACCTTAAATATCTGAATTAATTTTAGATACTTGTAGAATGTTGCTTTTTGTTTCAAAATCCGAGTATAAATTTATCAAACTATTTCTAGGTTGCTGGAGAAGCATTCCCAACCACGAACGAGGATCTACAGGGTTTCTGGGACATGGTTATGTTGCAAGTGGACCAAGTAGATGCTTTATTCAAAGAAATAGAAGACCTTGAAAGAAACGGCTGGAAAGAACCAGCTAAATTTGTGCCCAAACCTTCCACCACTTTGAATGGCTCGACCAGATTTAAAAAACCCGCGAATCGTCCCAAAACTAATTCTGCGGCAAACGAAGAAGCTCGAAAGCACAGGGAAGCCGAACGAAAGAGGATTCTAGAGGAACGACGTAAGGCAATGAAAGCAGCTCAACAAAATAAACCGACTATTGAAATTTTTGTGCCTGATAACGCTAGCTGAGATAGGTCCGTAGTTTAGGTCTTTTTTGCTATTAAATTGCTGCACTATATTCTTTTTTATATTTTTTAATACGCTCACTTGTACAATCTATAAATATATAACTTTATTGCATTGCTAATTATAATGTTTTATTGTATAAATACTAAAATTGACACTGAAGAACGGCAATTTGTTTTATATCTACATTTATATATTTTGGGAGCAGTACAATAAATTACATAGATAAAAACTGACGAAACATGTGGAGACATCACTGTAAAATATACTTTTAAAAATAAGAAATTTTCAATAAATTCATCTAGGTAATTTAAGTAATCTAGTTTTTTTCTATAAAAACCAGATTTTACGACGTCATTTTAGGTTTATAACATAACAAATTGTAGGGCTTAAAAATATGTATTCGAATACAAGGCTTGCATAATTATAACTGTATTTGAGCTCTAAAAAATATGTTCTGTATTGTCTCTCGTCTAGATATAATTAGGCATTAGGCATATTTCAATACAGATTCTTAAGCCTATCAATTTGTTATTTCTTTGTCATTAACATAGCTAGAACTCCTGAAATGGCGTCACTCCCGTTCCCACACCACTTTAATGAAAGTTTCTATTTAAATAAAAAATACACTTTATTTCTGGTCAAGTTTTCTTGGACTATAAATGAACAATTTTGCCATTCTTTTTGTAGAAAAATTTAAACAAGCACTCAAAATATATTGATTTGTAATAATTTCGCTTTCTTTTCAATCAAAGTTGAGACTTTTATTCAAACATTATGGGAAACTGATAAATCTACCCCTATTGGCTGTGCTGTATGTATCTGCTTGATTGCATTTTAAACTATTAAGGCAATCATTTATTTTTATAAGTCTGTGCACATTTCAATAAAACGATAGTTTTTGATGGTATAAAAATATCGTATTTGGTGGCTCGTAATTTGAAGTTTAACAGAGAAAAATATATGTTTATTAACACGTTCTCTGCCATGTTAGCAACACAGATACTTCATAAAAAGGTCGCATTAACTCATTTTCTTAGTTAAAAACGACACTATTATAAAATATGGGAAAGTGTCAATATGGACTAAAAGACACACTGTGGGTTAAATTTATTCATGTGATCCCAATAGTTTTCAGTGTGCGAATAAAGTTGTTTTATTCAATGGATACAAACGCAAATAAACACAAACAAAAGTAAATAAAACAAAAGGATTTAGACTTAAAAACGATTTTTTCACTTTTTTTTTAAGTAGTTCTTACTTATCTTTTTCGTTTAACATTTACTTCCATCTTTCTTTACTTACTTTCAACTTGTTGTCTTTGTCTAAATTTCTGCAACATCAATCTTTGTTTATTTTTTGAAATCTATTTTAGACAGGTTATCGTCATTTACAAGCCTACATAAAATCATTTGCCATTTGGTATCAACATCTTTTAAAAATTTGCTTGGCAGAGAACGTGTTAAATACAAGGCAGATTTTTATTTGCACTTAATCTCATTGATCCATTATTTATTGTTTCATTGTTTAGACTTTTTGTAATCCTAACATGTATATTTTAAGAGCCAGTTATATCTGGAAATAAATTTTTAATTATTCTTTTTTTACTTTTTTATAAAAAATAAACTATTGATACTAAAAGGACTTTGTACAAACAGTTATATAAGGGGTTTGTTTTGGTTCAAACAGAACTGTCGATTCCAGTTCTCAAATACTGGGGATGAATTAATTTTTCAAGAACACGTTGCGAGATTATAACAACCTCTTAGCGGATCGAGTGTAATTCAGTGATTCTGAACTAGTTTCAGAAAGAACCAAAACAAGCCTACCATTTTTGTACTGCTTCTGATTGGTTAATTATTTCTTATTTTATTTTTGTGCTTCAAAAAAAATTAATAAATCAATGTACAAAGACTGAGTTATAAAACAATAATACTGAATAAAAAATATATATAACGCATATTACCAGTAATAACCAAAAATTATTGTACTAAAAAAAAAAGAAAATACATTCCCAGTCCTTTTTATAATATACTGGTGTAATTTTTAATTTTTTTTAGTATTTGTTATACACCGACTGTAAGGCATTTTGATGTTCTAAAAGTTGAAAGATGTACGTAACTTTGGAGATTGTTTATGAGTCGTTAATGTACTGTCTGTTTTTGTTACTCAGAATACATATTTTTACTTATTTATCCAGAGAGTCGATACAGGGCATTTCACAATAAACAAGAACTGACTGATAATGTAAATGAAATATCCTATCTTCCATCCATTTTATAAAGTTTGTTTACACCAAAGCTGACAGTTATTTTTTAGACGTCAACTTTTATAGATTTCTTTTGGCTATAATTTCATGTATTAATTTTGGGCACGTCTATTTGGAACGTTTCTATTAGAAAATATTGTCCTGAGTACCACTTCTCTGTGTAGTACGTGGTTTTTGGGTTATCTTTTCATAATTTCCGTTTTGATATACCTTTGTAGTAGTACAATAATACACGTACTATAGTTCCATCTCTTTATGTGAAAATCTGTAGTCTTCTCTCAATCACATAATATCCATTTGTTTTTAAGCCTACAATAACTTAGTAGATATATGCTCAGTGAGGTTTGACGATGGCCTTTTAAGAATTCTTTGGCCGTTTTTGTTCTGGTCAGTTAATTCCTCCATTCATGATATTTGTTTGTCATAACGATCTTTATGATACTGAAAAGGGCAACTCACAGCAACTGAGGCTCTTTCTTGGTATAGAGTTTAACATCTTTTTTGTGTCTTGGTACCCAATCTAAAGTTAGTTGTTTCTGGACAATTACAGATGATGCTGTATTTAAAATGATTTTTTTAACAAAATTATTATCCCAAAAATCTTCGTTTCGTTTATTGATGCTTTATTTGTCTTGGTATTTTATGTTAGTTTGTTATCTATGAAGATGTCATTTGTTAACTATAGCGTAGATGCTGAAAATATCTGAGGAAAGAATTTAATGAAGGTGTAAAATTAAACTTATAAAACGGCGACTGAGCAAACAACCATAAATTATTTGATGTTAAAAATATATTCTTAATAATTAATCAAGGAAAAATTACGAATGAGCAAACAACCAAAAATTATTTGATGTTAAAAATTATTCTTAATAATTAATCGAGTATATTATTCTCCTTTGTCGGTGTATTTGTAATTATTTGTTGACAGATATTTTAATCTAGTTGGCTTACTATAGATAAGTTTTATTATTATGTTAGTTTTTAGGGTGAACAGTTAAATCATGTGCATTTATTTATTACAGATCAGCAACTTTTTCATTCGATCGGCATTATTTATATCTGGTTTTTTTGATAATTATTTATATTTGATTAACTTACATTAAATAAATTATTTACGCTAAATTGTTTTTATTTCTCGCTATAGTTAAATTCGAAAATAATAGTAATTGAATGTGTAAAGAATGGTTTCATCTATCATTACGCCGAAGTTTGTTGAGATTTTCGAAGGTTACGGAACAGGAGAATATTATTCAGTTGCGAGTATTTATTGCATATTTATGTTTAGATCTATAACACATTCCTCACATCAAATTATTGCCTATTATATATTAATTTATCTATGGTCTTTACCGCAGTAGAAAAAAATATATTTAATGTTAAAGGCAACTAGTTTCGGTCAAAGACCATCATCAGGAAAACATGAGGAAGGAATCTAAAAAATATATTCTCCACATTCTATAGTCGACAAGTAAGTTGTGCGATTAGGAAAGTGAGTAGTACAGTACCATCGATTTTCAGTAAATTGTATCCAATCCAGTGATGTTAATTTCGCCGAAGTTAAAGGGCGAAAACCTGTCCAACAAGATGTAATGGTAGTAGTGATCCTATCAGCTGTGTGGTAAAGAGTGTAATCAAAGATTAACCAGCGAGCTTTACGGATTATTCACTCAGTGCGAAGTAATGGTAGGAGAAGCAAAAGCGATATTAGCGCAAGCTGCGGATAAATCGAGCACTAGGGCGATATTTTGTAATTTTGGCGTATCAAATACACGTAGGTATATATTTTACATTTTTTAAAAAATAGGTAAAAACAAAACAATGAGCAACCGGGGTTGTTGTGTTTATAAATTCTAAAAATACTATTAAAAAACAATGTAAATTATATAAATTTTTAGTAGCAAAATGGAAATTAAATCAAAGAAATAAATTTAGAACTGTACCTATAATAAAGAGAGAAAAAGTACCTTCACTTTTGTAATTATACTAGTATTACTGGAAATAGTAGATATCAGAAAGTAGAAAGGTTTTAAATAAACAATTTTACAATGTTCACTTAAATGTTCAGCAAGGACTAGATTTCTGCCTTCGATTATGGTATGTGACTGGAATGCAATTTTGTCACTAATTGTTAGGAAACCAGTTTTAATCATTAATCTGTTTTCTTTCGAACTAAAAAATGAAAATAAAAAATACAATCGCAAATATACCAATTATTTTTCTTTATTTATTTCCATGTTATTATTTAATGGTAATTTTGTTATTTTGACATTATTTAACCTATTCTTCAATGACAACTTATTGGGCTTAGGCAACGTCTCATACATTTTCTCGTAAATACTGTTGCCTGCCTATGTTTTATTATTGATTATATTTCCTTTTTTAGCTAAAGCAATAAAAATATGATTTTTTTTACTTGTTTTACAAATACATTGTGACAGGCTTCTGGTTCACCTACAGTGAATCAGGGAGTCTGTGTGGTGCTAAGATGGTAATTTCAGAATAGGGGTTGCTCAGGCGCCAGTTTTTGTAACACAGTTTACTCTGCGACCCTGTAGTACACCAGAGTGTACTCAAGATAAACTCAGTGGAGTTAAAAATATTTCCAGGCGGTCACTGCTAACGAAACTAGAATTAAAAACACTTATCTCCTTTAGACCTCGTACCCTACGGTACCCTGAAAGAAAACGGTTAAGAACCAGCAAGAAACAGGAGTAGATAATAAAATATATTTACAAAAAAAATACAACTGGTAGTGCGCGGCAGAGCTGTGACGAATACTCAAAAAATTGATTCAAATCACGAATCCGAATCACGAGATGTGATTCGAATCACGGATCCTATGTCCGAATCCTTTTTGCAATAAAAAAGGATTCGAATCCATTTTTTCGGATCACGAATACGAATCACTGTCAATGTATTATGTATCAATTATGTGTCTATTACGGACTATGACTTGCATACAAATGGTTGATACAAGATGTTGAAAAGAATAAACTTATTTTTTTCTTCTTCTATAAATATGAACCATAAATAAATTATAATCTACAAAAAATATATTTTATATAAACAAACAATAAAATAAAAATGTCTTTGGGTTGGCCTTACATAGCACAAAAATTTCGAGGTGCGTCGATTATACCTGCAAACAAAAATAATCGTTAGACTGCACCAGACGAAGGAAGGCAAGTGTTAAATTTTAGGATTTTTTTATGTAAGATATTCATTACTAATTTGTGATGTCAAAGAAGGCAGCAGAGCACCTAGGCAATTTTGAGTTGAAACCTATGCCATATTTTCAGGCTATTTTTATGCTATTGGTTTTTTTTGCAAAAATCAAGGTGCTCTGCTAGCTTCGAACGAGGCCAGCAAAGCACCTCTGTTTCAACAAAGCACCCTGTATTTTTTAAAAAACACTATTTTTTTTCGAAAAGTTTTATAATATTTTAAGAGTCTAAAAATAGCTCAAACATGTGACATAAGTAGATGTTTCCAGAAAAAAAAATAAACTGCTAACTTTGTTCCAGCAAAGCACCATGTATTATTTATAAATAGCATTTTTTGTAGTTTTATATTTCAGAAGCCAAAAAATGTAGTGTGGTTGTTTTTAGAAAAAAGCTTTAAGAATCGTTCGAAGCTAGCAAAGAGTTTGATTTTTGTAAAAAACGAGGAGCATAAATTTTTTGAATACTGTATAAATATAGCCTTAAAATAGTCTAAAAATATGGCATAGGTTTCAACTCAAAATTATTTAGGTGCTCTGCTGCCTTTGAATTAATTTGTAAATTCTTACGTTTTTCTTCTAAATATATTTTAACCTACGAGGGTACTCGCAATTGTTTAAAAAACGGAAATTCCTGGAAAACACAAATCTTCTACATGTCCTCGGGCGGGAATTATTTAAAATATACATTTTTAAAATTAATTAAAAATAAAAGTTAATGACTTCGTCACATCATTTTCTTTTATTAACCCGCAATCACAGACGACTGGTCTGTGAGACGTACTCCGATGGGCCATTTTTTGTTTTTCCCCTTCACGACGAGTTGTGCTATTGGGCTTCTCTGTAAATCAATTAGAAGCTAACAACTACAAAATCAACGTTTAAATATCACTGTTACAAATTTTTATTCGTCGAGGAGTGACTGCGGTAGACATCAGGTCTGTGAAAGTGTGACTATTTTTAAATTTTCTTTATTTACATTTTTATTAGGTTTTTGGGATGAATAATAATTGTGTAAGATCTGTCCTTCAAAAAAGAAAAACAGCCTACATTTGTATGGTCTGTAAACGGCCGGTGTCTTTGAAATGCACGAAGAAAATATGCCAAGACTGCGCCGCCTATAAAAAATGTGGGAAAGTAGGCATTGCAGTTTTCCACAAAATGATTTTTTTTTTTAATCATTCATGTTTATATTTTGATATCTCGTGGGGTAAATATTTTTTTGTTTTGTATTTTTTGTTTTTGTGAGTTTTTAACTTCTTGTTATTTTTAAGAATTTCTACCATTTTGTTAATAGTTTATACAATTAAATTCCAGTGATATCGTATTCAATAATAGAAACCTCTTAAATCACACCTTAAAGCATTGTTGTAAATTTCATTGTTACATGTTGCGCACCTTCGTACATCTTATATATACCTTGTCTCAACTTACTTAATATTAAAGAATTGACTTTTGTTTCACTTTGGCTTACTTTTTTATTATTTTCACATAAGTGTATAGATAATTTTCTGCAAAATATTTAATGCCTCTGCAGGCGTTTGATTGTCCCTCTTTCCAAGAGCCTCGCAAATAGATTTGTGTCTCTTAAGGATTAAAGTTTTTGATTTATCACTAAATCGTTTCACTATTTTGTTGAATACTTATAATATCAAAATATACAAATTTTTAACAAATTGACAAAGTCAAAATTATTTTGATGACTGCCACCTATGAAGACTTAATATAATAACATGATTTAATTAATCTACAATGTGCTAAAATCTAGTAACTTTTATCCATTTTCGTGTTTCTACGTCCAGTCCTATTTTATCCTCCCTTTTTCGAGCTGTTTATTCTATATGTACTTGTTTAGTTGCTCAACTATCAGTCATTCATTTTTTTATATCTTTAATTATGATTATTTAATTTTCCTATGAACTCCTTATTTCGTTATTAGAAAACCTAATGAACTGTAATCTAAGAAACAATTTACATGTTCGTTATGGTCAGAACTATATTTAATTTCACATTATTTTAACTAAAACTTCTCGACTTAAGTATATTAGGTTATGATGCATGTGATTGGAACTGTATTTCTTTCCAACAAATCAAAAAATAATAGTAAAACATCTATCCGAAAGTGAGGGAAATAAAAATCGTAATAAATAGTAGATATAATTTTTTTAACATTGTTTTACAAAAGGCACTTCTCAATGCAATTTAAGAATTGACAAGATTCAAAAAATATACAAAATTAAAAAAATAACATGAAGAAATTACTCTTAACATTATTTAACAGACAACAAAAAAAAAACAAGTAGTCAAAAAAGTAAAAACTTAAAATACTGAGAGGAATGAGGAACATCACTTTTAACAAAAAAATTAATTACAATATTGACACTATGGAAAAATGTTTATTAATTTATATCACCACTGAAGATTTTGACATTCATTACATAAATTTATCAACTCATGGTTGTAAGCTTCTACTTGAATTGTACAACTTATAACTGATATTTGGCTTTGTATTGTAGACGCAGCTTTCCTGAGTAAGAGGTCTCTATCACAGAATTGATCTAAAAGAAAAACACATTTTAAAGACACAACTAAAGTGTGCTACGAGCGAGGTAGGCGCCATAAATTCTTGGCTTCATGTAGAAAAGTAAACTTGATAGAATATCATTTTCCAATGTAATCTTCCCTAAGTTCAATACATTTATAAATTAATAAATAATATTATTTGAAAATCGTCAAATAAAATTGTCAAAATGAACTCGACGAAATACTGAATTTTTTTTTTGAACGCTCTAAGTAAAAACACATTTATTTAAAAATTAAAAAACTGTCCTGGGCCGGGATTCGAACACCTAATCATGTTTTAAGGATACTACTTTTACCAACTCGGCTATCAGGACATCAGATTATCCGGATTCTGAATTGTTAAATTGAATATAAGATTTGAATCCAACTCGATGACAGATAATTTTCAATTTCTCAACAAATTACCAGCATCAAATTTTTTTTCGGATCAATAACCAATATAGTATTCTAAACTATAAAATTATATTTTATTGATCAATTAATATTTTTAAACCCTTGTAAACATCATTTTTCCTCAAATTGTTTTACTAAAGCTGCTTGTAACTCACTATCGTCCTTAAAATAATGTACCCCAAGATTTTTTTTAATTGGAAAATAAATAATCACTAGGCAACATGTCCTGCCTATACGGTAGATGATCTTGAAAGCCAAGTGGCCACAATATGAACGAGTGCATTGTAGTCCAGTAATCAAACACCTTTTTATTGATTTTCCAGAATGTATTTATGCAACAAAAAGGCATAATAGTTGTATTGGACTCTCTAAAAATAACTGAAACTTTTTGAGGCATTATCACTTCAATTAATCGGCCGGAGTCATCTTCAACGGATCTTTGCCCCAAACGGAAACATTTTGCCCCTTTTTTACTTTCCTATCTGTATACAGATAAGGAAAGTATGGGAATCATGATTTTTTACATTGACATATTAGGAAGGTGATAAATTACCATAAACGCCGACTAAACATTGTTTAATTTGATTGTACTCAATTTTCGTTACCCAAAAGATTTTAATACACTAATTACGTAGATCGGAACTACTACATATACATATATACAGCCCATACTTATGAAACTATGACGTAACGGAGTTAGAAACCTGTTACTGTTAAGCCTGCAAGGCTGAGAATTTCTGGTGCATACCTCGTGAAAAACTTTTGTAACTAATAAAAAATTACATATATTTGTAGATCCTAATAAATAGTATAGAATAGTGTCAGAAAAACATGTACCTACGTTGAACTTTCAAGTAAGATACATATTTTTTATTTTTAACAAATTATTTTTTATGTCTTGTGTGTACTCCTATTTCGAATTACTTACCAACAGCCAAATGGACAGTAACAATGTTTTTCCCAGGCGACAAAGCCCAAGCGTGAAAACTATGTACATGCTTGATGCCCGTAATTTTCTTAATCTCATTCTTCAATCTCATAGTATCCACAGGACTACCTTCGAGCAGAAACCATAGGGAATCTATTCCAACTCTCATAGTTGTACAAATTACTATCACTGAAAAGGCAAGAGTGCAAATGGGATCCGCCATTTTGGCACTTGGTTCAAACTTGATGATGATAGCCGCGAGTAGAACCCCTACGCTTTGAAGAAGATCGCCCAAGACATGCACAGCCGCAGCGCGTACATTTATATTGGACGAGGAATGGGAATGTTGAGTTAGTCCATGTGAATGTGTGTGACAGACTCCATGAAGAATTGCACCCATACTAAAAATAAGTAATTGAAAATAAAACAACTGAAATAATATTTACAAAGGTAAAAATTTATAATGAAATAATCATGTCACTAAATCAACAGGTTAAGAAGGTTTGAGCACAGCTTATACAATACAGCTCCACAACTCCGTGTCGGCGTCTTTGATCTGGCGGTCGAGAACCAAGCAAGACGGAATGGTGCTATCTCTGTTAGATTCAAGGGAAAAGTCGGGCCCGGATTAAACAATTTTTTTATTATTGAAAAAATTGAAAACCTTGGCGTAATAAGGTTGGTCACATGCCATATTAAGTAAGTTTTGGGAAATTACATTTTTAATTTGTTTTAAATCTTTCAAATATAATTAAAAAAATTATTTAAATATAAATATTACGAAAAATAGCACATCTTTCGGATTAGAGGTAAAATAATTTATATATGGCTAGTAAAATCCTCGTTAACAAATGTTTTGAGCTAAAACAGTCACTTCACGACAAATTGTGGCTTGGATCCATTTTACACCAAGGGCTTCAATTGTTAAAGAATTGTGTCACGCTCGTGGATGCAAATCAAGTGGTACCCCACGTGTCTCTGGCAAGTGTTACTCTTCGCGCAAAGGGTTTATACCTAGATAAACGAATGCTTCGACTGAGGTCTGGGAACTCTATGGTATTTTGGAATTATAAAGAATGTGTGCTTTTGTTTTAACAATATTGGTTATATTTAGGTGTATTCTTATTATTTGAAATACAGATTTGTAGAAGTTATACTTTGACAGTTTTTATTAATATAATATATTCAATTTTTATCTGACCATACCGAAGTAGGAAATTTTAAAACTTTATAGTAATGTGAAATTTGAATTACAATATTACAAGATATAACATAATTAGTACTTATTTTAGGTAGGTACTAAATTTGTACTTGGAGAAAGTAATATCGATTTTTACAAGAAAACTTGAAAAGTAAATTAATTTAATTCCTATTTCTGATGTAAAACTTAAAACAAGAAAACAAATAAATTGTAGTTTGTTCAACAAGGGTGGATATGATAGCCATATCACACAAAGACGAAGTTTGAGCACGACGTCGTAGGCGGAGAACTCAATCGTCTGATTGTGATATGAACAATCTACTCGATATGGTCAGTATATTTTTTCTACGACCCACTAACGAAAATCTACAAATTTAAAAAATTATTTTAGGTTATTTAGACAAAATAACTAATTTTAAAATAATTTACGAAGTTGACTAATTTATAAAATAAAATAAACATGAAAAATTAATTAGTCCTCGGCCTAGATTCGATCCCGGACTTTTCGCGTGGAAGGCAGATGCTCTGTCTTCATCTTCACCGAAACTTTCAGGACTTTAGTTTTAATACTCGTAATTAAATTAGTATCATGTAGTTTAATTAAAATTTATTTTTTTTAAAATAGAAACAAAAATGCTATTATTTATCGAGTCTGCACAAAAATTTTAATGTATATTTAATATCAATAACTAAAATATATATTGACAATTAGTTTAACAGGATTGTCACTTATTTAAAAAATTTTAAATAATAGGAGTTGGGTGACCAAAATATGAACTGTGATTTGTAGATTTAATTTTGTTAAAGTGTTCTTACTACCTAAAATGGATGTGAAATATATTCGTAGTTGAACACAATAACATACTTTTTCGTTTTGTAGTATGTGCGTAAATTGGCTAATATCCATGCACAGATTACAAAACGAAAAAGTATGCTATTGCCTTCAATTGAACGAAAATATTTCATATCCATTCTAGGTAGTGAGAACACTGCAAAAAAAATAAATTCGCCAATCACCGTTCATATTTTGATCAACCGACTGCTATTATTTTTAAAATTTTAAATAAATGACAATTCTGTCAAACTAATTGTCAGTATATTTTTTAGTTATTGAGATTAAACATACATTAAAATAGGTTATTCTTTTGGAAAACGTTAGCATGGATGACTAAAGGGTATTGGGTTAATTAATTCTAAAAGTGTGGTACAAATGTTATTTTTTGTAGCCAATTCTTCAAAATTATTTTGAAATATCTTTTCAATATTGAATATTAGTTCTACAAATTCATCATTTGACAGTTGCAGATTTCCAAATGTATCTGAATTGGCGTTATCATATGCCTTTAAAAAACAATAAAAAGAAAAATCATCTATTTCAACGTGATCTTTGTTATATTTAAGACAGGTATCGCAGGAGTGGATCCGCAAGGCTTTTATTAAAAGGTAACCACACACATACCTGATAAAAATTTTCTGTAGCAATTCGTCTTTACAATAATTTAGGGTGTTAATAATTTCATCATAAAATAAAATACAAGGTGTTCCATTTAAAAAACATACATTTTAATTTGCCAGGCAAAAACGTGACACCCTGTATATCCAAAGATATTTTTAAAATATGTAGGTATTTTTCAAATCCATATAACTTTTATTTAAAACTTTCTTGCGTGTCTACAACAAAATAATGAACAATAACGCACTAATGGGACACCCTGTATAAATTATATTTTTAACAATGAAAATTTCTTATAATGTGGTACTTATCGGTTTGGGTCCTTGGGAAAACTAAAGAATGTTTTCTTGCAGGTATAACCCTTATTAAAACAGCTTTTGACTGCACAAACAGAATGATGTCTTTTTTTTCATTCATTCTACTCACAGCTAAAGAGTCACCAAAATAATAACAGTACCTTTAACTCAAACAAAATCTACGAAATTATAGGCTCCACGAAATTATACAATCAACGAAATTATACGCACGACTCAACACCTTACCTAAGTACACTTCTGAACGCCAAAACCGTCTTTTCCCTTCGAAGGCGGAGCTTAAGCGATGCGCGACGAAATCGACGCAAACCGTTGCCGCCAAGAGAGTGTTTTAGCTGTATTGTTAAGCTGTGGTTTGAGTACGAATTAATTAAATAAGACATTCATGAGAATATAATTCCTGTGCCATGTAATGTTCCGATCTTTTGGGATTTGGATTGACTGAGGACTGACTAGTGTTATATACAAAAGGGGTTGTCAAAAATTCTCACGTCGAACAATACGTTAAGTGCATTAACTTAGGCGATTATCGATATTCCCGATACCAAGAGTTGTATTAAATAGAATATCTCTTGTGAATATTATTCATCGTGAATACAAATATATTTCGTGTGACCTAACTGAATATAATGGCTTACAATTTTCAACATTTTCTTCAATATTTTTCAATCAAATTTCACAGGCGAATGGCCTCATTAAAATTTGACAGCTCAATAATTTACAATTACAGTATATCCCTCGGTACGAGGGAAGTAGATTTTCACGTTTCAAGATCCCTAGATTACGAAAAATATATTTCCCCATTCCGTTGGTCTGTATGTTGGGGTGATAGCTCAAAAACAGCTTTTAAAGAAGAAAAAAAAAATAATATAAATTTGGATGCAAGTAACGATACTTTCTGGCTCAAAACCTGTTATACTTCCGGCCAATTATATACAGGGTGAGCAGTTTTAAAACAAATAATTATTTTTAATAATCTGCAGATTTCAACTAAAATTGTTATCCGATTACTTTAGAAGGCAAATATAAGAGATCCTAAATAAGTTTAAAAAAATTCAAAATGGCATTGAAAGGAATCGTATTTAATCAAAAAGTACCCCTTGAAACAAATAATAAAAAGCGTCCTTTTGGTTTGAGTAACTGGACCATTTTAAAAGCAGAAAATCACTGTTGAATGTGACGAAAAACAACGAGCGGATGCGAGTGGGATCAAGGGGAAGGTGAAAAATGGTTATTGGTTTGGTGGTTTTAATTTTAAGTAGTTAAAATGTAAGTGCTTAAGAGTTTTGGGTGAAATACTTTTACCGATTTTGTAAACTATGGGTGAGATTACAGAACGTCTGCAACTTTGCAAATATGGCGGCAACTTTGCAGATCTGCAAATATGGCAAACTTACAGATGCAAGTATCAAGTTTTCGTATTCCAAAAAATATCTGCAAATTCGCAATATTTATTGTGGTTTATTACCCCCAACAACACTAAGCCCAAATCCACCCTTAAGGAGGTTAGAACATCCTACAAACTTGCAGATTATCAATTTTTACTTTACTTTTTTTTAATAACCATAAAATCTTCTGTTCCTTTTGATTGAATACAGTTAGTTGTGTAGGATTATCGAGTTTTTAAACATAGTAATGGATTTGGGTTTAGTGTTGTAAGTCCGCCATATTAGTAGATCTGCAAAAATGCCGCCATATTTGCAGATCTGCAAAGTTTCCGCCATATTTGCAGATCTGCAAAGTTTCCGCCATATTTGCAGATCTGCAAAGTTTCCGCCATATTTGCAGATCTGCAAAGTTTCCGCCATATTTGCAGATCTGCAAAATTGCCGCCATATTTACAGATCTGCAAAGTTGCCGCCATATTTGCAGATCAGCAAAGTTACAGACGTTCTGTAATCTCACTCTTATATTATGTTTATTTCTAACAAGCTATTAATAAAATAATGCCTGATGTCCTTACTAGTGCGAGTCCAGATATAGAAGAGAATGCAAAAAGAAGATGACAAATATTTTGTTGTTGTGTCATACATCATATGTCAACTGTCAGTATCTAACCTTTTTACAAATAGTTGAAATAATTAACATTGTTTATTTCTTATAAAAATAAAATATGGAACGAAACGGAGGCTTTCGTCCAAAAAATAACAGTTCGTTTTCACCTAGAGGCAGAGGTAACGACTTTCGAAAACCGTGGCGTCCGAATTTTAATTCTAACCAGCATAATGCAGGCGGCAACTCTTGGTTTCAAAACAACCAACAATCGATGCAGAATCCTAATCAATGGGACAACCAAAGTAACAGTAATAGCGGCGCCGGTTGGGGAAATAATGCATATTCAAACGAAGGTAATTGGAATCAACCTACAAACCAAGCCTGGCCCAACCAAAATTCAAATGATCAGGGGTATTGGAAACAAGTTTCGAGTAGTAATAACCAGCCAGCTTGGGAATCAGGCTCATGGCAGCAGTATAATAATCCAAATAGGGATAGAAGGACACCTTATGATCGACCTGATAGAGGTAGACCAAACAGACCCAATAGAGGAGGTCGACCTCAATTTAACTACGAGCCAAGGAGAGGGAGGGATCGTGAACCATCTCCCGAAATTGAACCGGACCCAGTTCCTTTGACACCATTAGAGGCTAAAATTGAAAGACTCATAACAGCTGTCCAAAGTCAACCCGATAATTTAGGACAACTCATACTATTACAGAATAATAACGAAATTCCTCCTGTATTACTCAATAATGCAGCACATCAAGTAAAAAACTGCACCTTAACAATTGACAGAAATGAGTCTACTGGTTATTCAAAATTAAGAATAAATAACACTGTTATTGCTGAAGGTAAGTTAGTTTGTTCATACATCTATATATATACATACATATGTTTCATTGGGAAAGGGAAACACCTTAACTGTGGATGAAGGCCACCAAGGTGCTTCAAACTAACTGATACCTACTGGATCTTTCACCCTTTACAACAGAAATGCAGGGGTGTTTTATCAATTTTGTATAACTTACTGAATTTACTAAGGTATACATTTGTTCATATTTAAAACAACACCTTGTGTGTCAGAATTTTTAATTTTTTATGTTTGAATACCACAAAAACTTAACACAATCATCTTATTTATTTTACTACTAAAATTTTAAGTAACATTATTATATTTCAACATTTTGTGGGCACAATGGAAATTAATCTTTATTGCGTCATAATTAAGATTATTTAGCTAAAGACATTTTAAAAACTACATATGTTGATAATTGTACTTACATCTATACCACTAGAAAATGTAATTAAAAAGCCTCATTTAGGACCAACCATCACAATAATTTATCTTTCGAACAAGAAAATTAGTATGTAACATAATAATATGAAAAGAGACCAACTATTACTAAAAAACATATAGCTAAAGGAAAAATACATAAATTTTGTTTAATTAAAACTGTTGGGAATCTACCATGTGTTTTCAGGTAATTAACTCAAAAAAAAGTTTTGAAATTCGATGATCAATGATCAGAAAACCTTAATTCATATTCCCTTTTTGCATTTCAAGTATTACCGTCACAAAAACCATAAATTAATACCATATCCATGTGTTTGTCGTTACTAAATTGATATGGCATTACACTCAAAACATTGAAAAATATAAAAAAAATTCAAATGACACAATGATGAGATATCAATTCTATGACCTGTGAGATATTCTAATAAAATTATTTACAATAATTGTGATATTTGGCCCTAAATACCCCTACCTAATATATACTTTGTATTAAAATTTGCATAAAATATATTATCTTTCTTGGATTTACAAATCTACCATGAAGTAAGTATCAACATAATATGGCTTTGCTATATGAATACCGAAATAATAGGTAGTAGTTTAATGCCAGCAATATGTAAATAATGCTGGCAGAGGTGGCATATATACAGTTGCAATATATGCCCACCAAGGAAAAAAATCTTGTCTCATAACCTCTAAAATTTTCTTCAAATGTTGGCACAATGAGGTGACAGCATTCTTTGCACATTGAATTACTGGCCTATTATTTCGGTATTCAACTATAGAACAATAACTTTTAAGTCAGTAGTAAGACATCTTAAAATGTGTCTTTCTTTTATTTGAGGTGGAATTCATTATTTTACATTTTTGTTGCTGAAATGAGATATTTTAAGATGTCCCATTTTTTCTCTAATCATCTAAAGAGTATATAACAATACAAAGTCACTTTTGAAAAATACCAGTCAACCTTAAGATACCTTAAAGCAATAATCCAGACAACTTCTGAAAATGTGTTTTTACTAGAATACAAGGATTTTATTTTTAAAAAAAGTTGACATCTAATAACATTCACTGTAGGTTGTTATTTACATTAAACTAATTTCAATGAAACACATAAAATTACATTATACATTTAAGCAATAAAAAAGTTAAAATACGGCATTAAAAGTCGATTTTCTGAAAATGACTCTTTTAAGTTGTCTTAGTATTGTCCTAACATAACGATATGTAGTTTTTTTTTAGTTAAATAATCTTAATTAAAACAAAATTGCATCAGTTTCCATTTTGTACCCACAAATGTTAAAAAATAACAATTTGAACTTAAAATTTTAGTAGTAAAATAATCTGCACAAAAATAAGCATATCATTGAATTCATGTTTTTGTGTTCGTTTCAAATATATAAAAATTCAAACATACAGGGTATTGTTTTAAGAATAAGACAAATTTATTCATTTTTTGTAAAGACGGTCCTGGATTTTGTTTCTTGTTTATACCTTAGTAAATTCTGTAAATTATGGAGAATACATGAGCAAAATTTCAAAAACATACAAGTTAGTTTGTGATTTACGAGTCAAATAAAGAGTAAAAGACAAAATAAAAAATAAGTATGGGTTATTTGGAAGCACCTCAGTGTAGGGTGACCAGGCGTCCCGTATTACCTAGCTTATCCCGTTTTTAAAGAGTCGGGACTCATAAGTAAATGTCCCAGTTTAAAAAAAAGTTTTTTGGATTTGTATTTTTTTTTCACAACTTCATAGTTGCTCAACTTCACTTCCATTAATCTGATTTTCCTTATTTGCGCCTGAAATTTTAAAAACCAGTTATCTTTGGAAAGCGTGGACAATATAATATTTTGTTTTAACATTTTTAACCTATCTTGTTTTGAATTCTTTCATTAAAGACAAAGATAGCATTTTATGCAGGGTATCTCCCAATCAGAAAAATTAAAATGTACCTATGGTATAATTATACATCTAAATAAGGAAAAAGTTTATAACTAAATTATAATTTATTTTTATTTTGTTAGAATGTTATTTTGTTTTTCTTTAGGTCAAATTACAATGTATGACAGTATGTATGAGAGTATGTATGACAATATATAGGTATAGTAATAATTCCTTACCTACCGTGTTTCTATTGTTGTTGCAATGACATTAGAAAGGTACCTATAGTATTTTAAAATAAATGTTTTTTTTTATTAGAACGTGATTTTTTATTAATTGTTAAAATTTACATGTATGTAGTTTTTATGCCTTTCAAAAATAATTTCTAAATATTTTCGAGCATATGTTCTGATTTCATCATATTAAAATCTGGCCACCTTAGCTCAGTGGCCTCCATCTACATTTTTTATTGTGTGTCCCTATCTCAAAGAATCCCCCTGTATATAATTAGGTAGTTAGAAATAAAAATTATCACTTAAATAAGTCAAATATTGTACTTAATAATAGTAATTTTTATTGTCTTAATTACACTGACTGGCCCTGTAAAGTAATTGCAAGTTAGAATTGTGATCACGACTCTTATTTTTAATAAAAATATAAATATTTTAGTCAGGAAATAATGTTTTATTTTTAATTTTGTAGGTATGTACTCCTCCAAAAAAGATGCAAAAGAAGCTTTATATGAAATGGGTTTAGACATAATGAGAGGCAAATGCTTTTATATAACCTCAAAATCTCATTATGAAGAAGTTTCCATGACTGATCTGAGTAATCAGAAAAAAGAAGAGGAATCTGAAAACCCCATGGATGGAAATAGTAAGGCTTTGCAGATGATGTTAAAAATGGGTTGGGGTGGCAAAGGTCTTGGCAATAAGGAACAAGGAGAACAAAAAAGTGTTGCAGAAAAAATTGTTGAAAACATTTCTCGCGAAGGTTTAGGAGGTGGTGGAAAAACGGTAATGCAAGAAGTTGATAAAATTTTAGCAGATTATGCCAAATCGACGAAAACAACTACTTTAGGATTTGATTCTGGATTTACAAAAGAAGAAAGAGCACAAATACATTCTATAGCAGCTAAATACCATTTGAAATCCAAGAGTGAGGGAGGTTTTAATAGCAGGAGAATAACAATTAGTAAAAAGATGAGTAAGTGGGTATTGGTTAGAGAATTACTAAGTGTAGGACTGGAAAATGAATCCTATATTTTGACAATTCCAGATGAATTTAAGGATCTATGGCCTGAGGATGAACCAGATGAACCTGATGAACAAGTGTAAAATAAATGTTTTAGTGTATTAATATAAGAATAATTATGAAATGAACGTGTACAAAAATAAATGTTTCTAAAAGGTTAATCTGATAAATTTTGGTATACATTGAGACAGGTGGCAAGTATTTTGATTTTACTATTTGTTCCATTACATTATAAAAATCCATGATGCAATTACTTTTTATATAAACTTAATTTATTTCTAAGTAAAACTTCAACTTTATTACTTTGCCTTTGCTCTAGTAATATTAGATGGAAAAAGAATTACAGAAAAGCTGTACAACATAAGGTATGTTGATTTCAGGATTCATATACAAATTGTATTTCTTTGGTAATTAGATATATAGGAAATCATTGAATGATAAAAATATCTTATTTTGTGTGTGAATTATCTTCATTTGCCTAGAGATATTAAGGTCCTATATTTTAGAATTAAAAGAGACAAGGTTTATAAAACAATAATAAATTGTAAATGTATAGTCTAAGTTGTATAACTATGTGTTAATTTAACATTAAAAAATATTAAGAAAGTGACCTCAAAAATTAATAAATATCAATTCGATGAAATCTGGTTCTTCTGTAAAATGTTGAATCAAATTTGGTGTATTTGATTTAGAGCGAAAAAGCACATACTTTTGTTGTATTTTATAGTTTTTTAATTGGACTATTTCAAAAAATTTTTAATGCTATTGCTAATTATGTTAGTTATACAGATGAATATACCAACTGGCAATTCCCCACATCCTAAAAATAGGAAGCTTTTTATTATTTGATCCATATTTTAAAAAATTACTAGTGTTGCCAATTTTTTAAATTAAATTGTACCAGATAATTTATAAAATTTCATAAAATGTATAGTTTGAAACAATCCAAATGTAACACATCTCAACAAATGTCAAAAATAGGTCAGTTATTAAATAATCATTGGTATCAAAAACAACTAAAAACAATTTAACATCCAAAATTATCTACTGATAAGATTAGATATAATTGAATTTAAAAAAATTGGCAAATTTGTTGGTTTGGTAATTTTTTTTAAATTATATTTTTTCTCAGAAAAAAAGGACTCTGCATCTCTGCATTTTATTGGATCACTAGGGCTCATGGGAATAATCTTTGACATAGCTACTAAAATAAAAATTATCTTTGAAATCATCATGAATTTCATCTTTTTTGGTATTTAATGTCCCTCATACCACTTGATGGGATATCATCCGTAGATCCTCTAGATTTTTTGTAAGTCAAGTTTTTGATAGCTCTAGCAGCACTGTATATTATAAATACGAGTACAACACACTCATACGTAGTTTACTATGAATTATGAATCTTCTAAATATCATAACACGTTTTATTCATTGTAAGTGGATGCTTGATTATTAAAATTTTCATTTTTTTTATGCTAAACTGTTTAAAAGTATTTAACTATACTCAGTTCTAAATGTTCATATTAATATGGTCCAATTCATCAGTTACATTATGAAGAATGTAAATTAAAAAAAATACCTATGACTTCCATGTGCTGAATATTGTTGGGTTGTGATGTTTTGCAGAAATTTTATGTCACTATTCTTCTAACCACCTTTGATCTTTTTATGGATCAAATTGTTTTTTATTAATATTAATGATTCATTATATTTTTACTTGAAGACACGTAAATAGTAATGTGTGTATTATTGTTTGCTGTAAAATTGTAAAGCTTTTTTTATAATTTAGTTAATACGGTCAAAGAATACTATTATATAATGGACAATATCTTACAAATTTAGTCTATTATTATTTAGAACTTTTTGGATAAGACGCTGACAGAAATTTTCAAAGTGAAATTGACTTAGGTACTGTGGACGTTTTCAGGGAAAGCATAATTTATTGATACAGGTCCTAAAGGATTGGGTATTCAGAAAATCAGGAAACATTTGTTGGGGAAGAGAGTTCCAAAGTTTAACCACAGCAGATATGACGGAGTGTCGGTCTTAGAATATCGAGACCACATTGAGTTTAATTTTATTGTTATAAGTATTATCCATTAATTATGGTTCTTTGACCATTTACTACTGGTATTACGTTTTGTAAATACAAACTATATTACAGTAAAATATGTATGATGTACTATTCATCTATTGTAATAATTTAAGATGCAAATGAATAATAAAGACATTTGCAATATAGGCTGAAATATTATTTTCTTTTAACCTTTTTGGCTCTGATGTCCCAGGTTTTGCCACCATAACGTGTAAAAAAAAGCAAACAAAAATCGACGAATTTGACTTCACAATTTGAAAATAAAATTCAAGAAGCGCTAAAATCGTGGTTTTATTACGTGATTTTATTTTGAACGAAAGATGATTGAGACATTGAAGTTTCAGGTTTATAAAGCTCTTAACTCTTAAGCCTGTCAATATAAAAATAATATTTGGGCATTTTACCTTTTTGCCCAAGTAACACATCTGCATTAACTATATATGCTTTACAAATGGCTTGCAGTGGTTTTTCCAACTTCATATTGTTTCTATATGACCTACAAAAATCAAATATGTCTGCATATTATTTTCATATGATCTTTAACTTAAATATTCTGTGTATGATCCTCATATTGACTTTGCTAGAAGATCATCCCTGAATAAAGCAATTAACGGCTAAAAGCAGACCTTATTTACATATATAGCCATAGCCTGCTTAAGGACAATATTTTAGTCTGGGTATTTACAGAACAAATGCCGGTATTACCGCTCTGTAAACAATTTCTCAACACAAATTAAATGCAGGTTATGTGCTGAAGTTAATTTGCAGACTATTTGCTAGTTAGACCTTGACCGCTGTTAAATGGTTTATACAAGATATGTGTCAATCGGTATTCACATATGCAGGTAACATGCAGTAAGTTCAACAGATGGTTATGTTAAGTTAAAGAGAAAATATTGATTTTATCACATTTTATGTAATTAACATTAATAATGGAGAATGCAGCTAAATGGCGGAAAATGGAACAAATCGTCAGAAGGTGAAAATATATCAAGCCCTGTTTTATTATATGAAAGTACCTCTAATATTATTATACAGAAACCTTTGTTAAGCAATGAGTTTCAGAATGATTTAATAGAAATATCAAAGTTAACAGATGCTGATCCTGAAAGTGAAATTTTAGTATCTGAAGGAGGTGAAAATGATTTTTTTGAGTATTTGATGATACTAAGCCGAGCAATGAGTACTTAAATGTTGGTGAAAATAATGTTGGAATATTTTTGAAGAAATGGGTAATTGAATTCAATATATTATAGATTGTCTTAAAACCATTATTGGGCAAGTTAAGTGAAGAATATAATTCTAGATTACTCATAGGTTTTTATCTCAAGAATCGTTCAAATGGTCATTAAAAATGAATAAACCGCAGAATGTTATTAAATTAGAGGGAGAAAATTGGAGATAGGGATGAAGATGCAACCCCTAAAGTTTTTAAATTATATCTCGAAAACGAATCAATTCGGGCATAGTTAAATTAAATTTTTTGTAGAAAAACCCATTTCATATCGAAATAGTTGATTTTATTAATTTTTTAAAAAAAAGCAATATATCCAATTTTTTGTTTAATTTTACATTTTTGCTTTTTTACGTTTCCTGAGCAGAGATAGGTATAGGCATTGCTTCATATAAAAAAAAAGTAGATTCAATTTCCTTTTAAAGGTGGTTATAAAAAGTTTTTTTGGATAAAAATGGACTGAGATAGAGCCGCTCAAACTCTGTTATTGTTTTGGAATTTTATTGCGTTTACCTTAATATTGTTTTAGTTCTTATTCTTTGCAACAAGATTTATTTTTTATTAGAAACAAAAATTTAAGGTAGTTTGTTAATAAAAAATTAATATTGTTAAAAATATGTAAAAGTGTGATCGATTTATAAAAATAAAGCCACAACTAATTTTTCATAAACATTGTTTTATAATCTAAAATATAATTAATCCTCTTTTTTTACTTTCCTATCTGTATACAGATATAAGGAAAGTATAGGAATCATGATTTTTTTCGACCTCGAGTTTTCGACGGATTTTACGTTTTGAGGTCCCCTGAATCCGTTTTGACTATTTTCGCGATGATGTGTGTGTCTGTATGTCGCATAACTCATGAACCGATACACAGAAAAACACCAAATTTTAAACTTAAGCTTTATTCCAGCGTCTAATGAACTGATTAGATTTTGGGCAGAGTCGGGGGGGTACTTTATAGGTGGTCATTTTTATATTTTATGGAATATATCTGTTATTTACGTTTGGAGAAGAAAATTCTTCAAATAAAAGTTACTTCTAATATAATTATCTATAATTTTTGTTCTATACAAAATTTTCCTAAAATGGCCCGTATTCGAGAAATTTGACAAAATGTAAAAAAAATATTTTTTTATAAAAATTGTTCAAATAAGAGTTGTTTGTAATAAAATTCTCTATAATTTTTATTCTATACATAATTTCTCTAAAATGGACCGTATTCGAGATATTTGAGAAAATGTGTAAATTTCGAATTTTGAAGAAAACTCAAAAACGGATAAAGAAAAAAACATTAAATTTTAAACTTAAGGTTTATTTCGGCCTGACGTGAAATGATTAGATTTTGGACAAAGTCGGAACATCTGGGGGGGTACTTTATGGGAGGCCGTTTTTATATTTTATGGAATATATCTGTTATTTATGTTTAGAGAAGAAAATTGTTCAAATAAAAGTTACTTCTAATATTATTATCTATAATTTTTGTTTTATGTCAAAATTCCTGAAATGGTCCGTATTCGAGAAATTTGACAAAATGTGCAAAATTCTGATTTTTATGAAAATTGTTGAACTAAAAGTTGTTTCCGATATCGATCTCTATAATTTTTGTTTATACACGATTTTTCTAAAATGGACCGTAATGGAAAAGTGCTAAATTTAAATTTTTCAGTATTTTCGTTTTCAATGAATATTTAAAGAAAAATGTTTCGAGGTAGATGTACGTGGACAATGTATATATTTAGTTTATCCTCTAAACATTTACAGAAATGCTGCAATAGGTTGTACAAAATAACCGGAAAAAGCATATAATAACTAGATAGGAAAGTCATGTGTTGGACACATCAGATTTTTGTAATAAATTTTATACTAATTATTATTTTCATTGTTTTGTTTTATCTCTTTAATAATGTTATCAAATTGGATATCGTTTTCTTTGTCTATATCTTTAAGAACATCGTCTCCTGTAATCTCTGTCTCTCGTACATTTTCGCTATTAATACCCATGTATTGTTTGCAAAATATTGAAGTTATTCCCAATTTCCTACAACCAATACTTCCGTGCTAACCTGTGGTACATCCATAAGCTTTCTTCTTGAGCAAAATCTCTGACACAGGTGATTCATTTGTGCAAATCGCAATCAATCCATTTTTTATTTTTTTCAACCTCAGCACAACAAACCATTCTGTTACATGTTCCCTCCTGTTACATAACTAAGAAGGATAAAATATACTTAGACTGTCTTGTATGCACTTTTGCTTTATTTATAGAACCGAACACCTAAGTTCAAACTGAGCACCATAGTTAATAGTTATATAATATATATATATAATTACAATATATGTTACAAAAATTATATACGCGTTATAACTTTCCTCACATAAAGATTATATCAATTTATATATTTATGTGTAATCTACATTAAAGTAAGAATTTGTACTAAATTATTTTGTTCAAAATGTTACATACCGTATACATAAATAAATGCTGTTGGTATCTGGTGCAATATTTTTAGTAGCGTTTCAATGTCCAATGGCGGTTATATGCGTTTTATGGAGATACCATTGCCATTTTTATTTTTTTTTTGTGGAAAATAGCAGGTATATTGTTTTTTATAATGAAATTGAATTAATCCGTGTTTTGCAACAAGTTGTAAGCCACAATTTGTTTACAATCGAATGTTTTATGTAAATCAGTCTATTACTAATACAACATTCAGCGAAAATGCTGTAAGTCGCATCTGGCCAGGTACAGCTTACAGCATTTTCGCAGAATGTCATATTATTAGTA